ATAGAAGGTAGATAGATAGATAGATAGATATTAGATATGATTAAAGGATGTCAGATAGATAGATAGATAGAATGATAGATAGATAGATATTAATATGTATCAGATAGAAATGCAGATAGATATTAAAATGACTGAGATAGTTAGATAGATAGACAGACAGATTTATATTAAAAGGACTGCGATAGATAGATAGATAGATAGATTTTATTTATTATTGCAAAATATAATAATTGTGGCACATGGCCTTGAAGTTGGGGTTGGGTTGGCGGTTGGTCATCCTTACTTATCCTTTACCTAGCTAACCCGATTCACGACCCATTCATTTAATACAAATAACCCATTCACCAAAAGAATTCACCATTCATCTTTTACTCCTACATATACCAAAATACCACATTCACAATGGGACCCTAAAATTAAACCCCATGGTTTAAAATCTCTTATGTACAAAGGTTCATAAAATATATATATATATATAAATCTGACGATGATGTGAAATGATGGTGAGGGTTCTGAATCCCGATACAAAAATTATATATAAAACAGAAAGTAACAGAAAATAATTAATGTTAGTAGGGCCCATCCACCCCACAAAAGTCAGAGTTGCCGCTGTATTCTGTCATCAGACAGAATCAAGAGGCTAATTCTCTAACGGAATGGGGGGGGTGAAAAATGAATGTAGGGCGTGGGGGAGTCAAAGACTGAAGTCAAAGGCGGCCGAAAACAAACTGGGGAGGTTGGGAATCTCAACTTGGCTCATAACCAAAGTAAAGCGCCGGGAACAGGCCAGGAACGACACTCACTCACGTTAACTAGGTACACAAAAGTGGGGATCTACCTTAACGAGGTGGGGGACGGTTCGCAGGAAACCACCCCGTTGTGACGAGAGGGGACTTAAAAATGGAACTCAAGGATAGCCCCTTTCACGCGAACCAAATTCGCTACTTTTACCCACCTTTCGTTGAAATCTGTCGACACCAAACGCTTTTTATCAGTTCTGATCGTCACTTTCAGAACCTGATGAGAATAGCGTTCCCGTCGCAAGATCCCCTCCTTTCGCGTCATCCAGATCAGCATTCTTGCCACGGCTAGCAACGTTAGAAACACCATTCGTTTCACCCTAGAATACGGGGGCGACACATTGTCGCACACATATGCGAGATCGATGAGTACAAGCTGATCGGGAGTGATACGAGCCGTCATCTCGCCGACATAGTCCCAGAAAGTGCGTACCTGAGGACGATGGTAGAAGGCGTGCAAAGCCGTTTCTTCTAAACCAAGGTCACACCGGTAATAGTCGGGCAAATCCGCCCAGCCCCATCTGAAGGCCATGTCGTTGAGAGATAGCACGTTACGGATCAATCGCCAGGTAAGCGAAAACTCAGTGTTACTGAGGTAATTCGCCGCTGACGCCCAAGACCAGAAAGAGCGCAACTCGTCCACCGACAAGCCGAGCCGCTCGCAGAGACGATCCTTCACGACCCACTCCACTAATACACGATAAAAGACATTTCGAGGCCGTGAAAGGTCACTGGACCGAGGAAAAGTCCTCAAGGCCGCTCGACACTCGTTGAGAAAAGTCGACAATTTCCCGGACCTACGACGGCGCTTAGCCCAGGAAATGGGAGGAGTGATAGTAAGGCTAGGGAAGGCGTCCCTAACACTCGCCACCAAAATCGAATCCTCTGTAAAAAAACGCGATGTAGGAAAGCCAAACTCAAGGCCTTTCGATGACTCACCCCGTGCGGCAATCCCAGCCACCCCCCCCGACACGTACGTTGGACACAAGCTTCTTTACGGACCTTCTGCTTGCGCCCACCCCACAAGAGGGTGGACAACAAACGCTCGATCGCCTTCCTATGGTCCTTGCAAAGAGGAAGTACAGCCAAGCGGTAAAGGACGAGAGGAAAGACGTAAGTGGCACACGCCTCCGCTCTACACTTCAAGGACAACCTCCTTCGGAGCCAAGTCCGGACCGACGCTCCGACCTTTGCCTGTACTTCTAACCAATTTTTCTCCAGCTGGAAATCGGGTCCAAACCACACTCCGAGAATGCGGACAGGACCGTCCGTCCAACTGAAGGGCCCCGGAAGAGAGACCCCCTTCCAGGCACCTAACCGCAAGCCGAAAGACTTGTTACGGTTAATCTTGGTCCATGTGACCTTTTCGTACCGTTCAAGCGCCTTCTGTACCACCTCAATGTCGCTGTGGCACGACACGAAAATGGATATGTCATGGGCGTACGCGGAAACCCTGGCTCGAGCCTCACCAGGGACAGCAATTCCACGTAAGGCCGGACTGCACGCCCCGTCCCTCAGCCGGCGAAGAGGCGTAAAGTAGGGGCGACAGTGGGCAACCCTGACGAACCGACCGAGACAGCGCAAAAGCGTGCGACCGCTTTCCGTTCACCTGTACCACAGCAGTGGGTGAGCGATACAGGAGGCTAATCCATTTGCAGAAGTCGGGTTGGAATCAGGTGGCCTGCAGGACAGCAGCCAGATACCGATGATCGACCCTATCAAATGCCTTGAACTGATCCAAATTGATCAGCGTGGCTTGCTCGTCGTCTTTTACACCCTCTAGGATCGTGCGGATCAGATGCAGGTTGCTCTGAAATGTTCTGCCCTTCACAGCACACGTCTGATCGGGTCCCAACAGACTCTCGGCAATTGACTGCAAACGCTCCGTCAGATAAAGATAGACACTGAGATAGATATCAGTTTTAATTAGATAGATAGATAGATAGATAGATAGATAGATAGATAGATAGCAGATCAGGTTGATAGATAGACAGACAAACAGATAGATAGATAGATAGATAGATAGATAGATAGGTTGTCGGAGTTAACTCTTCCTTCAGTTCGTTAACCCTTTCACCAGGGGTCTCTCTTCCCTGGCTATAAATAGCCGCTGACCTTTCGCCTCTAGCTCTTTTTCCCTCAGGCCTGTGCGCCAAACACCTTGAGGTAAATCTTCTTTTTTTCCTCAGGCTTTCAGCTATCAACCTCGAAATGTAGTCGCTAACAAGGGATAGCGTGGAAACACGCTAAGCAAAATACACACGCACGCACATACAGAATATTCACGCACACACGCACATACAGAATATTCACACACGCACGCACATACAGAATATTCCCATATACTTCAACCTTTGTAATGTTTCCATGTATTGTAACTTGTTATTAATATATATTTGTATATACATATATTATCGGTCTTGTGTTTTGTTTGCTTTCTTTACCTTCTTCTTTGGACTTAATCAAAGTCCAACCTTTTTATGTAGTTGGGCCCGGCGGGCAGGAGTATCTGAACCTTACATGCGTTTCTTCTACGTCTGACATCTATCAACAACATAACAGCCACGGCCCTCTACAAGGTAATGAAGCGATACAGATAGATAGATAGATAGATAGATAGATAGATAGATAGATAGATAGATACGCAAACAGGGATAGATAGATAGATAGATAGATAGATAGATAGATAGATAGATAGATAGCAGTTTTTATAAAATAGACAGACAGACAGAAACAGTATAGGGTTATTCCAAACGTAGCTTAGATATGGCACAAGGCCGAATGTAAGGGACACCCAGTGAGGATCGAACTCACTGCTAAGTCGTAAGTTTCGAGTGACAAGCTTGATAACCATTACACCGCCTCAAGTTGCTCTATTAAGATAGATAGGAAGCAGTTTGAATTAAATAGATAGATAAATATTAAAAGGAATCAGATAGATAGATAGATAGATAGATAGATAGATAGATAGATAGATAGAAAAACAGTTTTAATAAGATAGACAGATAGATACTGCATATAGACTAACAGACACAGACAGACATACGAAATATAAAAAGTAAATGTTCTGCAATGTCACACACACACATCCAAGCCGACACACATTCACACACACACAGACCCAGACACACAGACTAACACACGTATCTGACACGCATATCCACAAAGTGACAAAACAGTTTCATTATTAAAATTTGGTTTCAAGCTAAATTATTAGTAGTATTAGTAGTAGTAGTAGTAGTATTATTAGTAGTAGTAGTAGTATTAGTATTAGTATTATTAGTACTAGTAGTAGTATTAGTAGTATTATTAGTAGTAGTAGTAGCCTAAACGTTTTCCATGAGTAAAATGCCTGGAACACTAATTGACTTTAACCATGGAGCAAGTGATAGCAAGTCTTTTTAATTTATCCATTAAGCCTGCTATTATTATTATTATTATTAATATTATTATTATTGTTTATTTCTTTTGATCCAAACTTCGATAAAATTATTTCTGAAAACATTGTCCTCAATTCAATAATGAAAAAAGTTGTTTTTTACTTTTATTTTGACTCGACGAACAATTGACCTAAATTTTGATTTCTAGGAAATTTGCCCACCAAAAATGAATTATACAAAAGCAGAACTACACTCATAAACACACACACGTATATATATAAAATATATATATATATATATATATATATATATATATATATATAGATAGATAGATAGATAGATACACCTAGTGAGCCAGACAAACCTACCTAGGTTTCACCTAAACGGATCGTCAGGGAAAGTTTGGCTAACGAGGCAACGAGAAACACACATATTTATAGGTGATAGCTAAAATCATACCACGTGACAAAATAAAAACAAAAAAAACAACCTAAGTGGGGGGAATATTTATTCAACAAAAAAAAAAAAAACCTCAGTGGAAAGTCAATAACGGAAAACGTCTAATTTAGTAGCCAAGATTTTTTTGTCTACATACATTGAGAATTTCAGTTTTAGAGTTTAATAGTTGGTTGGGTTGATCATATAAAGCTATGGCTAATTTCTCCTCAGCACATAATTTGCAAAATTTATGGCCTGCTTTATATTTTGGGCATTTTTTTAATATTTCCCATTTAAGGATCGGGTCTATATTATCTTCTTGTTTGGTTTTCCATACGTAGGTAGATAGCGTGGTACTATGTTTAATTTTTGCATTCTTAAA